AAGTCGAACATAGCCAAATGAAATATATATATATATATATATATATATATATATATATAATCATAAATATAGAAAAAGTTGTTCCGATTTACCATTTGTGCTTTAGTTATCCACTGTTTCATAGATGCTACAACTTTTTGAACGTTTGGCCCGCAAGCTGCTAGGAAGTAGTAGGTGTACATTATCATATGTATGAAACTGTTTATCATGCAGCTCAATGATAAAAGAGCAATAGCGACATATCTTACACCTAACCATGCCAGAAACAAGGTAGATACATGATGGTATAAATGCAAACCAGACACTTGATTATTTTTCTTCCTTAATACGAATATGCCTGTTTCGACGTAATCCAAGATTTTCAAGAGAAAATAATAATATGCACTCCTACTTAACTGTAATATAATATTCAAATGTATTAATTAATTTGCATTGTTATATTATTTTCGAAACGAATATATATGAGTATAATAAGCGATAAATAGCGTAATTATGACTTTACGTTGACATACATATTCATTCGATTGTTAAAATAAGAATACTTTCATATATAAAAATATATACCATTAACAAGAATTTGTTTTTTTACTTACAATTCTTATACTATTGTTTTTCAAATAAAACTTAACCGAAGACTTAATTATCGAAAGTTGTTTTATCTTAATGAAAATGTAACACAAAGTTATATTTTATAAGTATATTTTATATTTTATAAAGAAAAGTGCGTACACTGAGTTTCTTTTAGGATTAGACTTGAAAATAGACACCTGTCAATGATATATATATATATATATCCTTTCTTATGTTTTATATGTAACTTATTACCCTCATTGGAGTATAATCGTAGGAATAATCCAAAACTGAGGGACATATTAATTTTGAATTTGTGAACAAACCGGCATCGATGTGATCGTAAACCAACCAAGCGTTTGCCACAATTTGAATAATATTGTACAACTTCATAAACGTTTTTAGTGAATATGGTCCCCTATTCTTCATAAATCGAGGCCCACACTTGAGCACGAAATACAGATACGCAAATATTATAAGTGGCACATGATAAGAAGATTGAATTAAAGGCAAATCGACTACTCGTGGATCTGAAAATTAAATTAATATATTGAATTGTGGCAAATAAGTCATGAAAAGATCATGCAATTTGATCATCATTTAAATTCTACATTTCTACTTATACTTCAGCGTATATAGAACATAATCGGCATACTCTAATAACATCTGAAATTATATCCGCAAAATTATATATTAATTTAATATTTATATATTATTATCGATTATATATAACGTTAATATATTACATAGCTTCACGTTTAAAATATTATGTTTATTTTATTTGTCATTATCACATTATCATATTATTTTCAGTTATATATTATTATTATTATCATTTGCTTTGAAAATTTTACAAAATAAAAGCATTGAACTATAAAATGTTATTTATATTTTACTATGTAAGAAAATTTACGTTTAACAACGGCAAACATTTTTTTTTTTGAAGTTTTTCTGTGAATAAATTTTTTCTTGAGTATTGGAAATATTTATTAATTATCGCTAAATTTCAAGTCATTATATTATAACAGCTTTAAACAATACTCTCACCAAGCTGTTTTGTCCATAAATGTTGAACTTCTTGCAAGAGATCCATTAGATTGGCGATTTTGTTTGTCGAACTTTGTTTTAAAATCTTGTCTGTTAAATTTTGTTTTATGATAAAATGTCACTGTGTTATTTGATTAGTATCATTTATTAATTTATATGGGAAAGATTTAATGATCAAAATCGATGATGCATAACCATGTAGTACGTACAGTCATCTAGCACGCAATTTTCATTTCATTGTATTTATATCCTGTACTATCATGTACTTTGCACTTGATTTCACATGCAAGAATATAATGTTCCTATAATGTAATCTCGTAACGTCAATCGTTGTATTATATGTGTCATAATGCCAGTATAATACATATGTAACGCGCGTATGCAGAAAATTAAAATAAATAGCAGCAAAGTTCATACCACACACATATTTACACCACACACACAATCTGAATTTCAATAAATATAATTTGTATATGATATTTCTCGAGGTAATCAAGAATTCTACTTGTAACGGGATCGCTTTCGCGAGCGCGCGGATTAGCTTTGTCGGGATCAGGACTCGTGAAAGGGGTGAGACACACGGTAGACGTGGATGGAATTTAGTCTATTTATTTTGCCTCCTTCGGCAATGGTCAATTTTACAGATCGTGTTAAAACCCGCGAAGCGAGCTCGCGACGGGTGACAAAGCGCGCGTGATAATGCGGGCGCGATAGTTACGCGGCGCGCTACAATAAGTGTGTGATAATTAATCGGCGCTTTATAATAGAAGCGCGTTACAATAGCTGCACGATAGTTATTCGGCGCGTTAGCTCCGATGTATCGAACGTATTGAAATCGGGCGTCGTCGGGGTTCGGCAAGGCCGTGTTTATTATGACTGGCGCTGAATAGAATATATCGATGCGCGACAGGTATTTCGGCGCGGTGATTATCGTGCGAGTACGGTAAAACCGTGGGCTATCGATGCCGCGTGCTGTATTCGCGTATTCCCAGATGTGCGGGGGAGGCGGTCGGAAATCGAGTAATCTCGATCGGGCGGAGAACTCTCCGCCCCTGATATTTCTTAATATTCTTAATATATAAATTTCTTAATATTGAGATATGACATATGCGTATAAATACGTAGGAAATGTTTGAAATTTGGTTTATCCAGATTTTCTGTAATAATGAAATATATACAAATGTTTAATATTATATATTATTACTAAATTATAAGTATTATTTAAATTTTATTTTGTTATCTGTAGCTATGCTCAAAAAGCAAATTATCTGATCTTTTTTTTCAGTTTTGACCATTTGCTGATTTTGTTATTTGTGTCTCTTGTATCTATATGATTTCTTTTAATATTGTGAGATGTGATACATATATAAATTACATATATACACATATATATATTACATATATATATATATAGTGCATATATATATTATATATACAAGGAAGATTTTAAATAATGTACGAAGTATCACTGAACTGTCATCGAACTGTCACCAAACTGTCATCAAACATTCATCAGAGTAAAGGTCATCACACACAAAATTCCGTAAGGACGTAAGACGTAAGCGTAAGAAAATGGACCAATCCCAATCGAGTATTTGGCTCTCCGTAACCCCTCCACTTTTAGCCAAATTATTGCCAAATTATTAAAACAATTAGATCTTGTTTAATCTATCAAAAATTTAAAAATTCTGAGTTTAAGTGTATTATGAAATGATAGTCGTAATCACTCTTTCTCTTTTTTTTGTTCTCCTATTTACAAAAAATACACCGTATAATTTACAAAAGAATAAAACAAATAGAAAATCACTATTTTATTTGCTAGCATTTACATTATCACTGAAGTCGAACGAGCTATTTATTTTTAATTTAAGATCTGTTTTTTGTCTTTTTTTTGAGTTTTGCATTCATCATTTAATATCCGCAAAAAGATACATAATATGATCCATAAAAAAGCATAAAAGTTGTTTTTCTTTATTCGCTATTATCTGCATTTTACGATACTGAAGATCAATGTTTATTAATGAACTTTTTAAAAGATTTTTTTTTCCGCGCTTTACGTTTTATCTATGCTTGATTTGATTTTTATGTTTAATTTTATGATCTAACAATAGTACAATAGCACAATAGTATAATAGTAGTAAATCTTATATATGTATATGACTTTTGACTCAATTATAAAAAAGTGAGTGCAACAAATAATGTACTACGAATAGAACGCATAGAATATGCGTTGTTATTCTATACAGTTGCCGCGTCACTTTTAAGATTTTCTTATGGCCGTTATTTATTTGTAAAATACTTCGCAATTATACACGGAAAAAAATGCTGTTGCTTTAATTAAAGTCTACGTCACGGGCTATCCAGATATTTGGTCCAATAAAAATATCATTGAATGAACTATGTACGTTTGTTGGCAGCCCGTGACGTAGACTTTAATTGAAGCAGCATTTTTTTCCGTGTATAATTGCGAAGTATTTTACAAATAAATAACGGCCATAAGAAAATCTTAAAAGTGACGCGGCAACTGTATAGAATAACAACGCATATTCTATGCGTTCTATTCGTAGTACATTATTTGTTGCACTCACTTTTTTATAATTGAGTCAAAAGTCATATACATATAAAAATGATCTTTGTTATAAATTTTTGATATTAATATAAAAATATTTTAAAAGATAGTGAAATAGATACACTGTTGCTTCAATGTTTAAACACCATAATTTCGCAAAATTTTTCTAGCCAGTGCATGTTCGACAAAAATGCTTTTATATTTTTGAATATGACGGATCTCCAACGGTAAAACTATGTTTGATGCACGGCGCGGTACCAATCGCTATATTGACATTAGGCACTAAACAACATCATTTTGTTGAAGAATTTAACAATGGAAATGTACGTACGGACAGAGATACATGATCATTTTTATTATAAAGTATATAATATTGATCTATAATTATATATATTAATTAGCATATATGTTGTTTTTCTCTAACTGAAATTTCCTCATACACCCGATTTTGAAGCCGCAAAATGTTGGTCAGGCGGTTTAGGTGAGTTTTATTTTCAGTCAATAATAAATTAATAAAACAATTGAACTATGAGTATAAGTTCTCAAGATCAATACTAATTAATGTACAAATAGCAATTTACAGCCAGCGCTGGTTTCGAGGCGCATACTTTATTTTAGTTGTAAATCAGACATTTGTCATATTTTTAAATATTTTAAAAAACGAAACGGACATTTCGGTCCCTCTTTTGGATTCTCTTCAGCGTAATATAAATATTAAATTATCAATGTTGCACAAGTATGAGTTATAAAATATAAATATAAATGTAAATATAAATTATAAAAAACCGCTATATAAGTCGAATGCGTTGTCGATAATCATGTCGCTCAAAAATACATTAAAGTCAGATTATAAAATAAAAATCGGATAAAAATACTCAAAAATACTTAAGTTTACACGGATTCTAATATGGGTCCGCAAATCTGTCCTTCAGTACCTTGTCTATATTCGGATGGAAGCCGAACGTCTTCTTACTTCACTCATACCTCAACGAACCGCACTCCTTCCTCGGGTGACAAACCAGAAAATATTCACATAAATCATGAATGTTGGTATAAACCTCTTGGAATTAAGCTTGGAGTGAGGGCCAATCACAGAAAAAACCACATTGCAATAATTAATTTAAATACCTTAAAAATAGATAAGATGTAAAATGAGTCGTTTTTCAAAAATCTTCAACTGTCCGGAGAGTTCCCCCATGGGATGGGTTACTACCTAGAGCTTATGGGCTTCCCAAAATACATAAACCAAACTGTCCGTTCAGATTATTAATTTCTTCTCAAAACAGTCCGTTATATTGTAACGATGCATTGACTTCCGTTATGTCAAAGTCAAACTCACTATTCTTTTATACATGTTGTTC